TAATTTGTAGGTATTACACATGGTGAGGAACGCTAAGTTGGTGGGACAGTCTATCATTGCATACCTTCAGAAGAAAGGCTACCCTGAGGTGGCATTACACTTCGTCAAGGACGAGAAGACAAGATTTGGGCTTGCTCTGGAATGTGGAAACATTGAGGTAAAATTTTATTTAAGAACGAGATGGTATGAAACAAACAAAAATTGGATCAGTAATTTAACTCCCTATTACAAAATTGCATTGGTGCATCAAAATACATGTACATCTATTTCAGTCTTTGGTTTTGAATGTTTTGCTGTATTTTCTAAGTTTCTATTTTTATCCTGTTTAATTCTATTTTCCCTGATTCTCACTCTCATACACTTCAGTACAAGATTGAAAAGCGTAAAACAAGGCTTGGCTTAGAAAATTATTTATTTCTAAAATTCTATTAATAGATTGCCCTGGAGGCAGCCCGGGCCCTGGATGACCAGGCCTGCTGGGAGAAGCTTGGTGAGGCGGCACTGTTACAGGGGAACCACCAGGTGGTGGAGATGGCTTATCAGAGAACCAAGAACTTTGACAAACTCTCCTTCCTTTATCTCATCACAGGAAACCTGGAGAAACTCCGAAAAATGATGAAAATTGGTAAGAAAAACCAGGTTGTTTTTCATGAAATAATTAGATTTTGATTATGTTTTATTTTGTTCACCAAGAAAAGTATTTGAATGAAAAACCTTGTTTTTTTTGCAGCTGAAATAAGGAAGGACACCAGTGGTCATTTCCAGAACGCCTTGTTCTTGGGAGATACAGCAGAGAGAGTCAAAATTCTCAAGGGAGTCGGACAAAGTATATTTATTATCTTTTTTGGCAAATTTAAACTTAAATGAAATCTTTAATCTGTAGTCTTCAAGACATAATAAGTTACACATTTAGGACTGTGAAAGGATTACCATTAAGAATAAATAAAAGGAAAAGCTACATATTTTCATTGTTCTCTGTAGAGTCTTTGGCATACCTGACAGCTGCCACTCATGGAATGGAGGAGGAGGCAGAACAACTGAGGGAGAGCTTTGGGGAGGAGGAGAAGATCCCTGATCTCTACCCCCAGGCCCAGCTCCTACAACCACCCGTACCCATCATGCAGCAGGAGAGTAACTGGCCACTACTTACCATGACCAAGGGATTCTTTGAGGGAGCCATGGCTGCCGGAGCTGGTGGAGGTATAAACAACAAAACTTTAAAGCTGGAGAAAAATTTTCATGGTTTTCTATGATTTTGAGCCCTTTTAAATGCACTGTTCAAGGTGACATAGAAAAGAAACAGCTTTAGCTTCACGATATGTACTATATTCATTATGAGATCTTGAACTTTGTATCTTGGTTGATTAGGAAATTGAATTGAACACCAATTTTGTCTTCTACCTTAGTTTGCCATTCATGACCTGAATTTCTTTTCTGTAAACACTGCCTTTGGTTTTTATGGACATTTTGTTGTATTTTTAGGCAAGCGTACTGGTCTGGCAGCAGCAGCAGTAGACATTGAGGAGGGGGCAGGAGAAGGCTGGGGAGATGATGCTGATCTCGTCCTGGATGAGGGTAAGTTTACACAGACTGAACACACAGGATAATGTGTAAAGCAACTAGAAATACTCTGACATAGAGATATAAATTAGGAATGGCAGATTGTGTAACAGTAATTTATTGTTTTGTGATGTATATTACAGAGGGAGGATTTGGTGGGGAGGGTCTGGATGACGAGGCCTTGGTGGGGGCTACAGAAGAAGGAGGGGGATGGGATGTGGGAGATGATGACCTTGAACTTCCTCCTGACCTTGATGTGGGCCCAGCAGCTGCAGGGGGTGGTGAGGAGGGATTCTTTGTGCCTCCAACTAAAGGAACAAGTCAGACCCAGGTGGGTACACAGAAGTTTTATAGAATTTTTGATAAACTAGCGCATTTGTTAACTTTGAAACATCAATCATATTTAAAATACAGGCTAGCACTGTAAGTAATGCTGAATAAGTGAAATATTCAGTCAAAATTCAGACCAAAACTTCCTTTTCAGGTGTGGTGCAATAATTCTCAGTTACCTGTGGACCATGTGCTTGCTGGTTCCTTTGAGACAGCCATGCGTTTGTTACATGATCAGGTGGGCGTGGTCCAGTTTGACACATATAAACAGCTGTTTTTACAGACCTTCGCCAGATCTAGGACCTGTTACCAGGGACTCCCCTCCCAACCCCCATTATTTGGACACCCACACAGAAACTGGTATGTATAAGTTACTGTGGAATCATTTTTATTCGTGGTAACGGTTATTTTACGATAAAAAAGTATGTGTAATCGTAACTTTTAACAAATAATAGAAACAAAATGTTTATATTTACGTTCGTGGGGATGTAAAATCGTTGGTCAGGGTTACCCACGAAAGCCACGAACATTGGTCTCCTACGAACAATAATGATTCCACAGTACTCAGAGAAACATGTTTTTGTTTCTCTTTCATGTAGAGATATGAAAAGAGAATCGAGAGAAAATGTGTTGTAATTTGCTTTATTTATCTCGTACAGGAAGGAAGCGGGAGCACGGGCAGGAATGCCTGCTGTAGGAATGAAACTGAACACTCTGGTCCAGCAGTTACAGGTGGCCTATCAAATGACCACCACCGGAAAATTCGGAGATGCCATTGACAAGTTCCGCAGTATTCTACTCAGTGTGCCATTACTGGTGGTGGATAACAAACAAGAAATCTCAGAGGTAAGCTAGAACAGCAGGATTATTGTTTTTTTATTGTGCTGAAGCAAAGGTATAAGCAAAACAATGGCAGTGAAATAATTATACAAGACTTGTCTGTATTCAACGAATATGATATGATTTTTAAATACAGTAAAACTTGATTAGTATGAACACGGAAATTGTGAATTCACAGATATAGCAAAATTATCTTAGATTGCCAGGTATATAATTTTAACGTATTTCTTTTATGGATATAACAAATTATGGATATAGTTAAGTTATTTCATAGGACCTAGTGACTTTGTTATAACCAACTTTTACTGTGTAGAGATCAACTGTACTGCAAAGGTTGAAAAGGATATGATTTTAATACCTATAGAGATTGAGTTTGGTACTGTTGACTTGAGTTTGGTACTGTTGACTTGTTTGAGTTTGGTACTGTTGACTTGAGTTTGGTACTGTTAACTTGTAGGCCCAGCAGCTAGTGGAGATCTGTAGGGAGTACATTGTGGGGCTGTCCATGGAACAAAACAGAAAGGACCTCCCTAAAGCCACACTGGATGACCAGAAAAGAATCTGCGAGGTTGGTGATGATTTAACACTGTATTCAGTTTCATATTGTTTCATTGAACATTTGACATGTGAGGTTTATACTATCTTTCTGTTTTTTAGATGGCAGCCTATTTCACCCACTGTAATCTTCAACCCATACACATGATCCTAACACTGAGGACTGCATTAAATCTCTTCTTTAAACTCAAGAACTATAAAACAGCTGCCTCATTTGCAAGGAGACTGTTAGAGTTAGGACCAAAGCCAGATGTAGCAACACAGGTTTGTAGACTTTAGTTAAAAGAAACACTGTTATTACTTATACAAACTTGAAAATCCCTTGCATTACTGCTTTCCTGTCAAAGATTTGAGAAAAACAATAATTTTTTTTCAATATATGCTTGTTTTTATAGACAAGAAAGATTTTGTCTGCATGTGAGAAAAATCCTACTGATGCCCATGAATTGAAGTATGACCAACACAATCCATTCGACATCTGTGCAGCTTCATACATTCCCATATACAGGTATGTAATGATTAAAACAGTATAAAGTTGTCTGAAATTATTTCTTGAAATATCATACCCTTAATGCATAATAAAATCTAAAGATATGTAATATTTACAGTAACCAAAACAATACATTAATACAATTTCTTTTCCAGAGGAAAACCTGTAGTAAAATGTCCACTAAGTGGGGCTTGTTATTTACCCGAGTTCAAAGGTCAAGTCTGCAGAGTAACACAGGTAACTAAGATTCAAGTCATCCACTGTTTTTACTTCACTTGATAATCATATTCACAATTTAATGTTAACAGATTTTAAACCAAAAGTATTTTTGCATAAACAAGATTTACTTTATTCTTCATTTTTTCAGGTAACTGAGATAGGAAAGGACTGTATTGGGTTACGCATCAGTCCCATACAGTTCAGGTGAATCGTGACATAGAGGACATTGTGAATGTGTGTGTGAAGGATATGTGAATAGTCATTTGTTACAATGTGATTCATGACAATTAAAATGTAATATAATGGAAAGACAGAATATACATGTTTAGCACATAAGGAAAAAAAAACCAAGATGCTACTTGTTTCAGAAGAAATACATACATGTATTTAGAACTTTTTGCTTGTTATGGTACAGTTACAACTGTTGTGATATTTGTGTATATTTAATTAGTATATTAAATTAATTCAAACCTTGACCAAATTTCATGCTTGTTTTTGCATTGTATTGAATTTTACATGTGCACAGAGTGTGATGATATACATGCAGATTTATAACTATGACCTGGCTCGTTATTTAACCAGGATAATGTAGCTTAAGGTTCATAAACCCTCTGCTCACTCATATGGAATTTTTCTTTCTTTCTTTTATAGCATGGCTAGCGGGACAAAATTTGATAAAAGAGGCACTTAAACTTGACAAATTTATAAAGGAATAAAAGACATTTGTGTCATTAAGAGTTATCTCTCTTATCAGAGTATCAATGTACCTTAAGAGTTAGTAAATGATGTGGAGCAGTGGTAGCTGGAATTGATTTTGACTAAAGCAGAAGTCATTGGAACCTTCCCCCATGACTAGGTAACCCCACCCTTTCTCACACATTTGACCTCAATCAACCAAAAAGAACTTGCATAACTCCTGTAAGATGCACATGTGCTTCCATTGCACTAGACTAGACCTGCCTCGACAAGACTGTTAATTGAAGAATAAATTCAACTTTTGAATGAAAATAATTTATTACTCTATGAAGCAACAAAACAGTACTTTGAGTACAGGATAATATAAATAAAACATCTGTTATTGCACATCAACAGCAAAATTAACAAACATTGAACATCTGAAACAGATTTCTGCTGGAAACTTTTCATAGAAATGCATAAAAAGATCTTGGTTAAAGAATCTCACATACAAAAATAACATTGTTCTGACATGAGTGACAGATTTGTGTCTGTAACCATCACTTGGAAATTTTTTTTTCCATAAACTTTTCCCCAGTGAATTAAAATTTTTGAAAGAAAATTGGAATTTTCCTTCCCTTGGAGAGAATCTTCTGAGCAACAGATAAAATTAATCAAGTTTTACAAATAAATGGTAATAATAAGTGTAAAACATGAATTAACAAGAAACTATAATGTCTATAACAATGTAATTAAAATATAAACAAACATCTTTCACAGTAAAATCAAAATGAGAAACATCATCAGATACATGTAATCTTGCAACAAACAGATTCAGTTGTTACCTCCCTTACTATTCGTAGCAATACTTTCATCTTTAATATTCATTTACATAATTACTGTGTAAAATGTATAGTCTTAAAGAACAAAAATATATGTATGCCCATATATAATGACTTAAAATGTATAATTTAGCTTTGTGAACATAACATCTGAGATTTCTCAAAATGTGACTTTTACAAGAATAAGTAACAGTTACTTATATCATACTTTGTATAAAATTTTAAACAAAAAATTCTTCATAATTTAATTAAAATATCTTTGTTTGATATATAAATACTGATCTGTTGAAGTCTTTTGTTAAAACTATATGATGTGAAACCAAGTACATGTATATAACCCTCTCCTGAAATGACTTTTATACAATGTAGTTATAACAACCATTTTAAAATGAAACCATTATATATAATGTATTAAGATATCTGATCCATCAAGACATGGAATGTTTTTCATTGTATTCATAATTTAAATTGAAGTATCAATTAAAAAAATAAATAAGCAGCTATTTTACATATAACAATACTGAAATACTGAATTTTACACACTGAACTTTTACACTAATCATCCAGTAGTTATTGCTCTGATCTGAAGATGATGCTAGTTGACATGAAAACCCCTCCGCATGATTCTCTTCTTCAGTAAATTAAACTGAGCCACAAAAGCACTTTTGATTTCGGGGTGTATCAGAAAGTTGTATTTGGGAGATTCTGCCTTCCTGCTGACAGGAGAAATGGAGGATTCTGATTGGCTGTCATCCATTGGGGGCGTGTCTGGAGGAGATACCTGGACGTACCCACTGGTGCCGTCAATAAAGGCTTCTACTCGGTCCTTACTGCCACCAGAAGGCTTAAAACACAGAGGTTTTAACATCAGTATAATAACATTACCTTCCTTTTTTTGTTTTCTGATGTACATATATTCTAATAATTCAGTTATCGATAAATGCAAAACATTAACAGTCGTGACAATGTTCTAAATTCCAAGTTTTAATAAACATTTGTGTCCTACACTCTTCATACATTTTGGTAATAAAAAGTACTGCTAAACAAAATATGATGAAGTAGGTGTTTAAATGAATTTCAATGAATTAACAAAGTTTGTGTTAACTGAATATGTACCATGATAGGAAAAATAATTGTGGTAAAACAAATTAAACCTTCTCACCTGATCTGACGTGTGGAGCTGCATAGAATCCTTCCATATAATGGTAAGAAACTGCTCATTGGTTATTTTATTGCATATTTCTATTTCAGCCAATGAAAATGCCTGTTGCTGGGAATCATCCTCTAAACTGATTATGATGAGCAGATCACTGGTGAGCAAGAGATGAACTTTGACCTCTGTATCTGTGATGTCAATAAGGTCTGCTTCTACTAGTGACCAGAGCTGGGCATTAGGCAAGGAGTTCAGGAATTTTCTGTAAAAATGAATTTATAAAATTTAAACAGATTTTCAAGTTTCAGCTTTTAAGAAAAATGATGACACACAGTGGTATCAGAAAAAATATTGACTCTCAAATAATAGGACATATGTGAATAGGACATTAACTCTTACATGACATATTTTGATTCACTGTTGTTTGATAATGATGTGATAACAACATCTGCATCATATCTCGGTAGAGGAACATGGTCTGCTAGTCCTGTTCCATGCAGCAGCCCTGAAAAGATTCAGAAGACAAAAAGTTCAGAATTAATGAATATGACAGGCTCTAAAACTGTTTAAAACAGTAAAAAAAACCCAGACTTTTCAGTTACAAAATCTTTGCAACAAACCTTGTCCAGTTTGTGACACAAGCTCTGCAGCGCCACCTAGTGGTTTGGTGAAAACTCCCAGAATTCCCTTGCCGACTCCTTTGACAATCCCTGAAGCTGGTGATCCTCTGGCCATTCGTTCACTGCTGTTTTCTGATTGGATGACGTTCTGTATTGGCTGATCTGCCAAACCAGCTACCGCCCCTGTTAATCAAAAATAAGTTAAACTCTGATAGTGAAGATTTTTTTTCTGTGGTATTTCTACTAAATTGGTTATCTGACAAATATTTCAGCTAAACTTGCAATCAATCATTTCTTTATGACTCTAAAATGACTAACAAATGATGTCATGAAAAATTGTTCCTAATTTCACTTTATTCTTTATACAACCTACATGTAATTCATGTTACTCAAAGAAACCATAAAAATTGTATAGCCTTACCCAATACACTGAGTCCAAATCCTGTGAGTCCTTGTTTAAGACCGCTGGAAATCCCGTCCGGCTGCTGGCGACGCCTCTCTTCCTGTCGCTCCACGTGAGATTCATCTAGAGACAGGCGATCCATGTTCCGGGATACACTGGAAGCAAAGTTTGTCACCGATGTCAGCATACCTGTAAAATTATACATGCCATAAATAATTGACCATACTTAACTTAAATCTGTATAGTAATAAGCAGGTACATATATCTTACATGTACCCTATTCCTGTAATTAGCCTACCCGCTGATATGTTCCTGACAAATGAAGACATTCCACTGGACACTCCGCTGACAAAAGCTCCGGGCCCCTGAGTCAGACCAGCGTACGGTTTCTTCACCAGATCCGCTACCCCCGTCCCTATACTGCGGATCAAGCCAGTCGGATTTCCCAGAATCTCCAAAGAGCCCACAACTATGCCTAAAATAAGAGACATTGTGTAGTTAAAATTTTATCATGAAAAGTTTATCAACCTCAATTTAAATATATGACAGTCTGAAATTCATGTATCATAAGTCATTAGTAATAATTTAGATTCCTAATAATCCAAAATCAGATACTTATATTTGAATTAAGCCTAAAGATGGAAATGTAAGAGATAGCAATGACAAACATACATAATTATGTAAACTCACACACCACAACTATTTCAAGTATTTACTTACCTGCTCTAAAGAGAGCACCTGAAGCATAGTGCATGGCCAAGGCTCTGATCAGATGATAAGATGTGGTCACAACTTTAGTTTTCTCAAACTTCCTAAAAGCCAGTGGAGTGCGGTCTGAAGCAATAAACAACTTCAGTGAGGCGTGAACACTGAGAAGAAGAGACACTGGTTTGATACACAGGTGCTCTATCTTAACCGGAGAACTCAGGACAACTGAAGAAGCTTTGAAAGACCTGGGTAGTTTCTTTACGGTTTGTTTCCGTGAGGTAGGATATGAAAGACTGGTTGGAATGAGAATATCAAACTCCTTCAGAATCCTGTACACAAACTTGTCGTTGATGTTGGCAGTGATTGGGGAGATGCTGATTTCTAGGGACTTCACCAGGCTGTGTGTCAGACAGTCATGTTCTATCACTGCCTGTACGTGACACAAACTCACTGATTTCAGAACAGCTAGCTTCTCCATCACATTCATACCAGACACATCCGGAAAGTCTATTGGATTCTGTGCCATAAAAACAACAGGAAAATCATACAGTCCCTTGGTGAGGTAAAGCTGGTTATCGACCTGCAAGCTTCCAAGACACATTGACAAACACTGATGCTGATCTTGGTCTGTTGAAGTTTTGTCTGACCTTGACCCAGATGAGGGAAGGTGAGCCAGAAACAGATGATCAACAGAGACCTGGAGAACCTCAGAAATCTCCTCTGTAGAGCTGGTCTCGTCCTGTAGCACCACACACACATGGCGGCAGTGGAGCCCTAACACAACGTCTATTTTACTCTTCTGAGGTTTTCTCTTTGAACTTTCCTTGTGAGATACTGTTGCCATGGCTGCAGTTTCCAGACACTGGATGATGGATTCATCCTCTTGACTACCCTTATTGCTCTCAGTAGAGACTTCGGTTTTTTCTGTTTTGATCCTACTTCTGATCTCCATGGCTGATACTTCAGCTTTACTTATTGCTTCCACGGTGATATGTGTAACCATGGCAACACTTTTAACCTTGACCTTAATATCCATGGATCCAGGAATGGAGACAAAAGATTCCATGTCTGAATTGACATCAATAGCACTACTCCATACAACTTTATTTACAGTCTCAGATTGCCTCCCTTGGTTCTTCATCACTCCAAAGTGAAGTTTAGGAAATTTAAGATCACCCACATTTTCTGAAAACCTCTGGTTCATCAGTAGTGGAGTGTAGAACACATTTCTGTGAGGGGGAATGGTGGGTAGAGAACTCAATAATTCTGTCTCCTCCTGAACTACAATTCCTGGAAATAGTATTATAAAATAATAAATATTTATAAGCATGAAAAGTTACATGTACCTTATTGATTTAATTTTACATATAGAAAATTCTGGTTTATCTAGATAACATACCTGCGGTGAGCAGAGCAAGATTTTGATGTCCATAACAGAGAGGGAAGGTGGTTTTATTATGAATCAGACAGGAGGGGGACTCATCCTCCCTGACCACATAATAATAGATCCCCTGTCTGAAGTACCCCGACACACACACAGGTCTGGTGTGGAGACTCCCATCACAGGTAGGTACAGCCAATGTCAGCTTAGTTCCCTTCTCAGTGGCTGTCAATCTCACTGGATGTGACCAATCGGAAACAGTTTCACTGTGTACCTCAAGGAGATCAGAGCTCTTGTCTGATTCGATGATTTTTATGGAGATATAGTGAGAGAAGGTTTCTTCTTTGATATCTGTATTGTCTAATGCATTCCACATTAACAAAGGAGAGAAATCTGTTTGGTCCTTTTTACACTTCAGGTGACTTGGAATGTTTGAGGAGACATTAGGTGCCAAGTTAACCTGGTTTAAATGAATCTGATTTGTTACACATGAAATGAATGAACAGATACTGTATGTAACTGAAACATACATTATCAATAAAGATTTCATATTTTTTATCTTCAACATTTGAAACAATATAGCAATTTTTTAAGTAAGTAATTACATATATTCATTGAATACCAAAATTCTAATCTTTAAAATTTGATCATTGATTAAATACAAACCTTATTGTTACTGACGGGAATGGCATTGAGTGACAAAGTCATGGGGTCAAGGGTCAGATTACAGAGGTTAAAGGTCTCTGTAATCACAATTATCCTCATGTTCTTCTTCACTGATGACTGCAGGGTAAGGAAACAAATCTGCAACAGAAATAGTACAATTGTAAGAAACCAGTCATATCATTACTGCATAACATGCATTTGATTTCTTTTCAGTTTAAAATTGTCAATTTGTTCCTCTAAAGGTAGATGATTTCTGCAGCTAGACTCTCTTTGATTCCATTTTAAGTTCAATAGATTTGAATATTAAAAAATTATATTTTCTGTTATTGACAAAAATTAAAGTTGAGCAACTACAGAAAATACCCACTGCCCATTATTTATAGCATTCCTTAATATTTCACAAACACAGACTCTGTGTGGATGCAATTTGAGAATAATGTATTATAGCATCATAAGAACTCTTGCATTACTTGATTTTTCTGTGGGTGTTTGATGAGGATCCTGGTCTGGAGATATCCATCAATGAAGAGTATTCTCCCTTTGTCTGGTCTGTACAACTGTAGCTCTACTTCCTCATCAGACAGGGGGATTGGGCTGGTGTAAAACGGGGACCCTTCACACACTACACCAATCATAAACTCTGTCTGAAAAAATATAGATAATACATCAATCACAAATTTTGTCTGAAAAAATAAAGATACCTGGTACATCAATCATAAACTTAGTCTGAAAAATTGAGATACATCAATCATAAATTCTTTCAGAAAAAATAAAGATACATCAAACATTAACTCTGTCTAGAAATATACTCACTCTAAAAACAAAAATATTTCAATGAGAGCTATTAAAAAGAATAAAGATTTAACATGACACTCATTTGATCAAACCTTGAATTTTGGTGGTGTAAATGTCTTTTTGGATGGAAGTTGCCAAGATGTGCCATTTTGTTCCACTATCATTAGGTCAAGGTCAGTTTGGTTTGTCATGAGACACCATGGCGACACATCGACCAGCAGTGTGCCACAGCCAGGCCAGTACTCAGAAAGGTTGACATGTAGGTCAAGGCTGGGCTGGGACACAATCAGGTCAAGGTCCCTTGGGTCTGCTCCCTCTGATGATTGATGGCTAGAATCAGATGCAGTAGGAGATTCTGGAGGGCAGTAGAATAATCCTGGGTGCCCTCTGTTAATCAATCAAATATGAGTATGTCAAACTATTGACTTATTTTTTTTTTAAAAACTTCATTAAAGGAAGCTTGATAGAAAATAAATGTATGCAGATAATATTTAATTGGAAAAGACACAATTTACTAAGAGACTGATTCACACTTAATGTACATGTATACACAAAATGAGTTGCAAATAAGTCACAGAATTAATGTTATCATAATGGGAGTTTATTTCAAAATCTTTTAAGTATCATACTTGGCATCCTCTGTAAAACAATATGGCCACTGATCTCCATCCTCCTTCCTCCAGAACTGAGTGAGAGCCTCCACATCTATAGTGGATGGTGATGACCTTGTGATCTGATTTATGAGTCCGGTGGTCAAGGTCACTGAGGAACTGGATTTCTCCAATCCTTGACTAAAATTAGAATAACAAAAATGATACCCAAAATATGTCTAACAATCAGTGATTGATTGGCAGGTGAGATAAAAAAAATTTTGGTCAATTTTACCTGAGCTGGAAGGTGAGATTATGACTGTAAGCCGCTCCTAGACATTCCAGCTGGAGTTCTCTCCCCTTTCCAGGAACACTGACCTGCCGTGACTGTTGCATGCTGGGAGTTTCTATGTGAACGATTAGCTGTCGAGGTAGCTGGGATCTTATCACATACAGGGGACATAACAAGACCTGGAATAGGAGTTATAATCAACATTTATTCAAAGACATACTAAAATCTCAGAAGCAATAAAAATATTCCTAAGAAAGAATCCAGAATTTCAAACAATCCCCTCAATGTACTGCACAGTATTAAATTATTGGAAGGTTAAAAAATATCAAAAACTAATAGAAAACTTCTGTTAATGCTTTAGATTAGTCCCCTGTACATGTATTTACAACCTGGTTTCAACCTTCTATTCTATATCTTAAATAGTATTGAGGGTATAAGCATAAGAAAGTCAAATGGAAAGATAAGGTTTTTTGTCTAAAATTTAATGATGAGAAATACTGTGCTGTAGGAACTGTAGATTTATAAACCATTAATCATCAATACTAGGTGTACTTCAATGAGAGCACAAAATTCAAAGGGTATAATCACTTATTATAAGCTTTTTGAATCATCAGATGCTCTGCAATTCAAACATTGAGTATCTATACCCGTAACACATAAATATTTAATGTAGACGTACATACATATTAAAGTGATTAATAGCAGCATGAACAGTGCAATATATGCCTGCCAAAAAGTTTACAACATGTATTTTCTAATGATATAACTAAATATATGACTGTATATAAATTTTAATGTAGAGACTTAAATGTGAAAAATTAATCAGAGAAAAAATAGAACAGAGAAACCTAAAATTAAATGCTTAACTTTACTGAAAATCAGAAAATATTTTGTTATTATTCACACTAGAAATATGATAAAGGTCATATAGAACACTAAATGTAACCAGATTTAATAGTCAATAGACAATCTGAAAGGTTCTTCACTGCATTTCACTCTTTATATGTGAATTTCTAATTTGTATTACTCTTCTTTCTTGTGTTTTCATTTAAAATTGAACAAACTAATTTAATACTTAATGTCATTTACTGAGTCAGATCAATTTCTTAGTCCCATCAAATCAAATCCCAAAGGCCCAATAGATGGATGGTTAAAAACACCACACAATAAAACAACCATGTCAAACACTGGCAGATAGGAATTTTAGAACTCACCAATGACCCATGTATATAATGAATATGTTAATTAAAAAATCCCTCTCATTTACATAATACATGTAATTATAAATATGAAATTCTGTGCACAAATGGAAGAAGAGTATTGGAAAGAAGTTCAACTACTAAGGCTATCTAAATTTAATTCCTTGGTTCTCAGGCCAATTTTCTCCAAAACAGATGCGGGAGGGCGGCATTTTATTTTTAATTTTATTGGCAATAAAGTAGATGAGGGAGGTATTTTTTTTAATTTTTAATTTCCGAATTTTCTTTAACATAAAGATAATTTTTTTAATCACAGATATACTTTCCATTTCTGGTCAAATTCTCTGCCTTATCCATTGCTTAACAGCGTGTAAACATCGTAGGTAATGTCCTCGAATGTATTTTCAAACGAAGTAGCCAAAATCTCATTGTAAATAGCTACCGGAAGTGATATTTGAATACTAAACTACGAAACAAATGAGGGCGGAATTTTTTTTTTCCCGGATTGGTCTCCGCAATACCTACTTTTTATTTTTTCAAAAATACAAGAAAATCTGCGGCTACCTCAAAACGGATGCGCGCGGGCCTGAAAATTTTATATAGCCTAAAGTAGAAAATCAGAAATGTGAGCCATTGTAAGAACCCAGTGTAACTTACCATTCTCCTTGTGGAGGTATAGCACCTCTGAAGCTGACAGGGAGATAATCAAATGTTGAAAGGGGAGATAATACACTTAAAGAGGGGGAGCAAAACTCAAATAATAATTTTTATGAAAGATTAATAAAATAAAAATAAAAGAATAAAATTTTACTTCATGTGGTTTATTTGGTCAGGTAGTCTTTATACAACTAAAATTAGGTTACCAGTAAATTATATTTTTTTAAGTGCATATTGACAAATCAGCATTATCTAGCAGTATTCTGTACAGTGTCGTTTTAAATTTTTTTGACACTATGTAATGCATTGTATAAGTATGACTTACTGTAACTCGTGAGACGCTCTTCACATGTTGACAAATCACATGACACCAGATGTGTATCTTACTCTTGTCTGGCATTGTAATCTGTAACAATTAATTAAAGTCAGTCATCTTATTTTCCTCCTTATATTACCGTATAAGCAGACTTTTTAGCAAGAATTTAAACATTTAAATTGCTAATATTACTTCTTGCTAAAAATAAAATACCCAATTTTAAGGGCAAATCGGTAAATTTTTGGCTCGCTAAATTTCCACTTATAATATGGTATTATACAGCATATAAAAACTGAAGCAGCAAATAAACTTTGCTCCCTCTTTAATGAAATGGATAATCACATTAAGGATATCCTGTGCAATGTTTCTACAATTTATAGCTTCATTACTAATTTTTTTTTCAAAAAAAAATGCAGAGAGCGAACAACAGAACAAATAATTGAACTCTATGAGTTTGTTTAAATGTCAGTTATCTTGTCACCTACCATGACTGTCCTGCTGTCTGTAAGTTTCTCTGCGGACACATACACCTCACTGGACCAATCATAATCATCCACTGGCCCTCGGTGTGCTCGTACTTTGATGTACTTGATATGCTCGGGTTCTAGAATGTGGGAGGGGCCTGTCTCACTCTGGTGAAGCATGACTGTTGATTGGTTCATCTCAGATTCCGACGTGGAGTAGAAAATCCTGACATTTAACGGCAGGGACATGTGACTGGCTATCATCAGTTGTCCATGAATGGTCACCTGAAAAGTAGACATTTTTTTCTCCATTTCAAAACTTCTGTTTAAGTCTCAAAATACAAAATTTTATGTTGATTATTTAAGCCTAGTACAACTTCCATCTGCCAATTCAAATGTTCTCAAGAAGTTCCAATTTACCTGTTTCTGGACATTAGATATCTGTTTGACAGTAATGATCAGGGACTGCTGTTGATTAAACGTCTTCATGACTCGAACTACACTGCCAACAACGTTAATGTCAAACGGCTCAGACCACTTCCACACCTTACCATCAACACACAGATGGAGCTCCTGTAAAGGAAAATTAAATAATATAATCCCCATGCCATTAAGAATGAAACATATAATGAGGAAAATGTTCTTGTGATTAAAAATAAGCATGATGAAACTGACCTGTTTTGCTTTTTGACTTCTCCAGCTGTAGCAGTGCATGTTTCTGGATTCCAGAGCAATGTTTTCATCAGTTCCAACCTAAAATTACACAGAGACTGTAAATTGTGATCCTAATTGCATAATGTGTTTAATATATGGAAAAACAGAAATATGTTGTCAATGTGACCTACCTGACCAAACCTGATTGGTTGAGATGTATCATTACATATGATGTAGTGATTGAGTATCACTCTCTCTGTTTCTTTTGTTACACCAGACACCTAATAATATGACAGTCACATATAAAAGATCTAAATTGAATAACTTATACACAAACTTCAGTAAGTTTTCTGAGCCCATTACCTGATTCCAGGCCTGGAGTGAGCAGTTCAGAGTGTGTACAGCTCCTTTACCAAACCTGATAAACACTGGATCTACTGTCAGGTTACAATCCAACTGCTGTGTCTGTAGGGAGAAATGTAAATTATAAAAAACATTCTCCTTTCAAACTGACCAAAACTTAATTTCTTTTTCATTTTTTCCCATACATTTCATTTAAAACTGACCTGTTTGTCTTCAGGAAGTAGACATATGTCTCCGTAGAAAATAAAGGGTCTGATGACGTCATGGTTTGTCAGATTGCCGTAGTCTGTCACCTCTACACTAGCAGACCCAGACAACTACAATAGAGATATTTTTACAATTAAACATATCTGGTTAATCAAATTGTTTCTTCTGAACCCTATAACATGTGACTACAGATTTCTGAACCCTATGGTTCCATTGCTTTTACCACACTACCTTGATGACTATACCTATACTAAGGTTAATAACGTACTCTTCGGTTCCTTTAGTTTACTAACTACCTGTGGACTTTGATGACTATACTATACCCATACTATGGTTAACACTGTACTCTATGGTGCCATTGCTTTTACTATACTACCTGTGAACCTTGATAGCTATATTACCTGTACTGCAGTCCTCCTGAAGTCCCCCAGTAGATGTCTGACTTGTAGTGAGGAATTCCTGAAGGTCAGGGCACTGAACATCTGGTCCTCTGGAAGACTGCCATCAAACACAAAGGGATGTAGTTTACTGGGTACCCCTAAAAACATAGACAAACCCAGAAATAAGCATATACAGTAAACTACGCTGATAAATAAAACTGATTTCCTACATAAATCTACTAACATCTTAATACATGTATCTGGAATATAACAGGAATTTCAGAAAACAGGAGATGTCAAGAGTTCAAGATACTAAGGTTAAAATTATCCATGTATCTATGATAGATTAATTAGGACTGTCAACTCACTTCCCAACATCCTTGATATTTGACATATTGGTGTTCAGTATAGTGAAGTTAACTGTACTTCTACTAATCACGTCTGTACAACATAAACCCACCTGAGCCCAGACACCTGAAGTGGTTATACAGGTGAACGGCCACCAGACTGACATTGACGTAACACTGTAGTACCGGGATAAGACAGGGGAGGTAACTGGAATCAATCTTCACCGAGGCGGCCAGGGAGGAGGGAAGCAGGATAGAACTTCTCTCTGGGAGGTCCTCTTCTGTCAGTCTGTAAACATACAGGGATAATGAATGTTCAATTCTGTACTTTACATGACAATTTCATATAATAGGCTCTGTTGACTGTCATTGATCATGTTGATATTATAGGAAAAGGTACAAGTATTTTTGTCTTTTTGGACGAAATAATAGCATGATAATTATACATTCATGCATAGTATTCTAAGGAAAACTTACTCATGTCCGTGACAGAAGATCTGGTTATATTTGATCAGCACCCTCCACATCTTGGCAACCACCAGATCCCCCACAAGATGAACTTTGACCTCTGGAAGTTCCAGCACAGTCTCTACATTTTCTGACAAATCAAACTGTATGTAGGTAACAAACTGTTTAGTGACCACATCGTAGTACTGTAAAGCACATGGTACCTATAAACAAGAAAAAGAATTCAATGTTTAAAAATGCCTCTATAAAGAATTTCATTTTTTTAATATAACCTTAACAGTCATTTGAATATTTAAAGTGTTCAAGTCTCTCTTTCTGTAACAGCAAATGGAAGATGTCCTATTCATAAGTCCTACCAATATCTGTTTTTCCTCTGCTTTACTGGGGAAGTTCTGAGGTAAGTTAAATGGAATGGGAGTGAATGATATATGGGAGATAACTCTTGGTTGACAATAACTCCAGGTCATGCTGGCTTCGTCATTATGGTCCTCATTACAGAAGACAATCTGTCCTGCTGCCGGGAACATCACTCTGCTGTCTGTAAATACAGCAAATCACATAAGGGATCAGATAGGTTGATAAGTGTCAGGTACAGTGTAGGTTACATGAGGGGGTCAGAAAAGTCAATGAAGGACCAGCTGGGGGAAGATCAATTTACTGTCTGTAAACACAACACATATAACAAGGGCCAACAAAATTTCATTTTTGCATGTTCATCATTCTCTATAATACTTTCACAAGCCTAAAAAAAATTATATTTACTATATATACATGTATTTATCATAGAAATTCCATGTATTACCTGGATTCATGACATACAGGAACTTTCCCGTTCTCAGATCATCCTTGGAGGACTCTTCTGCCACCAATACAGACTCAACAGGTGCCCCCTCTGTCTCCACCCCAAGGTCTGGGGGGTCTTTATGCCTCTTACTGACTTTCTGGAATTGACCAGTGAAGTTCTACCAAACAAAAAATAAACTACGATAAACACTTGACAAAAGACAATTATGAAAGTTTTGTTTACTATCTCATTGGAGGAGTTTATATAAGGCAGAAACTTTTAAAGGAAAAATCATATACACCTGTATGTACAGATATTGACAAACTGGAACTAAAAATTCTGGTAAACCTAGTATTAATACAATTTACACAATTTAATTAACTTTACCTTCAAACTATCCCCGAATACTTTGAAACATTTGACATGCTCCTGACCAACTGAGATCTGTATGTGTTCTACAGTGATAGAAGTGACCACTCTGGGTACAGACAATGGGGTCAGACAATCATCCTCATAGAATCTGACCACAGCATCAGCGGCCAAACTCAGGGGCCCCAGAAAGGGGCAGGTTTTGTTTCTGTAACTGGTGCTGACAGTTAAATCCCAGAAATAAAAGTCTGCTGTCAGTCCTTCTGTCTTATCTAAAACAAATAATTCTACAATAAGCTTCTGCTCTGCACATGTATAATTTTGACAGAAAAAATTATAAAGAGAAAATACACCTAAGAAGATTTCAATTACAGTTTTAGTTTTAACCCCAAACATAAAGTCCTTGACCCCTGACCTGGATTTAGCTGATTAGGAATCAGGTTGACCTCCAGCTGGATTTCCTCTACACTACTGAACAACTGAGCATGCTCATCAGCACATTCTGTCTCCATGGCTATGACCATCTGATTACAAACCACATCCACATCTCCAATCTTAGAAATAACAGCTGTGAAATAAAGATGAATTGTACTAAAAAAATTTACTCTAGGTCTGTTTATGAGAATAATGGAAATTATATTGTCCCAAAATGTAATCAATGATATCAATTTTTTTAAATGAAAGCTTATTCATTTATGAAGGGACAAAAACAGCATATGAAATAAATTTTACAAACAAATTTGAATATAGATATATTTGAACAAACTAAGGAGTCTTACTCTGTAGTCCCTCTGAACTTGCACTAGTTGTCTCCCTTGATGGTGACCCAGATTTTCCTGGTGGTCCCGGGACTGTCCCCTCCAAGTTAGGTGGTCCCTTAGCACTCTGATCACCAGGAGATGATACCAAAATATCACTGAGGAAATCCTGAATGTGTTGCACTTTATCCAGACTTAAGTTGACTTTCACTGGTCTCTCCACTTTGACCCCAATTTTAACTGTTACAAACAAGATAACAAAGAAAATTTAAATATATCTGATATCTTCTTATTTCTATAGCTATTACGGTAATAATATAGTCCTGCTATTCATGAGAAGAATAAATGTGCTACATACTGTACAAACAACAGGGGTAAATAAAAAACACAAAAGACTTACCCCGATCCTTCATCAAGTCTGCAACAGACAGTGTACACAGACTTGGAGGGATTCCTGTCTTAGGATTGGGTTCTCCTGGTCTGGTCTCTATCCAGCTCACTCCATATGTTGACCAGTTAGGCAACTGCTTGGATAAATCTAGCAAAACAAATTTGAACATTGAGAGGATTCTAACAATTAATATGGATTATAAAATGTGATTTTATTTGCTGATATTTTAAATTAATTTCTTTTTTGACTGACAAAAGCAATAAAGTACCTGTAGGAGTGATATTTTTATGGGGCCCTTTTAAGGAAATATCATAGCATGAAATTTCAAACTTCTGGTTGTCATGGTGACAGGAAAGCACTGTATGAGGTTGCCATAGATACAAATGAAGGAATGGTATCACAGGATCTAGACATGAATCTCCTGTACTTTCTTTCCTTCCTTTTCTGTCAGAATTATTCGCTGTTCCCATGTCTGCCACATCAGCTTTATCAATGATCACCATGTCGTCTGATAGATCCACCCCTTTCTCTATCCCCTGGTTTCTGAACAGTGTACAGGACACAACATTAGCAGTCAGTAATAAGTCAAAAGGTGTGATTGACTGAGATCCTTGACCCTGATTTATTATAGAAGGTCTCTCTGTTCTTGTTTTCCCTGGGGATTTGACTGACGATATATCACTACCCAGTCCGCTGTCAGCTGACACCTCTGACTTTGCCGGGGCACCTGTCTGACTTTTTCTAGAATGTTTTTCTCTTCTGCTATGTTTCCCTGAGAGGCTTGACACAAAAGATAGAGCCAGGTCCTCAAAGAGTTTGATCTGACTTGTCCCAGCATAGATGTTAAGCTTGTTTGTTACATTGACTTCCAAGGAATGTCCACATACCAAAATCTGAAGGGGAAAAAACCATTAACTCTAATTAACATTTCAGAGAAATCAGATTATATTACCAGTTTTAGGATGTAATTGGGTCTATAGGCTCTACTGATGTCCATCAATACCTTCTGTACGGGTTGGATATCCTTCCTCTGAGAGATGTAAACAATAGCTGGAGCTGCTACAATCTTCATGTCCAATCTATACAGCATAGGCACCAACTTAATAGGTTCACGTTCATCACTGGAAAACAAACATCAAGTAAACAAGAGGCCCATGGGCCTTATAGGTCACCTGAGTATTATGCAACAACTTTCCAGTGATTGAATTTGATTCATGTTTTAAGCCAGATGCTATGGCATTCACAATTTTGAAAGAGGCACCATTGATCATCATATCAATATACAAGTTTAGCAGTTGCTTAGTTTGTTTACTTAATACCCATATGCAGGGTAAGGGAACAAAAAATGCATTTCAACTAATCAGTAATATTCAGCAATAATCAATAGTGCCCCTACCACACATGAACCCCTGACCCTTAGGCCTTGATATTTGATTAATACCAAGGAGCAGATTTCAAACCATTCATTCATTTTCAGTATATAAGTACAGCCCCCCCCCCCCTTCTATGGTATCCCTGACCCTGGGGCCTTGAAATTCACAATTCTGGAAGATATGGGCCCTTGTACAGCATAACTATATAGGTAGTTCATCTGCTTAATACCGAGGAGCAGAGAAGAAAATTTTCAAAGATTTAATGTATTTTCACTGATGTAATCAATAGAGCCCCAACCTAACACCAGAACCCATGTCCCTGGGGCCATGAAATTCACAAATTTGTTAGAGGCACTCTTGCTCATGATAACTATGCACTTAGTTAGTTTATTCAATACCCAGAAGCAGAAAAGATTTTCAAAGAATTCATGTATTTTCACTATATAATCAATAGAGCCCCGCCCTAACACCAGAACCCCTGACCCTGGGGCCAAACAAATTCACAATTTTGGTAGAGGCACTCTTGTTCATCATAACTATGCACTTAGTTAGTTTATTTAATACCCAGGAGCAGAGAAGAAGATTTTCAGAGAATTCATGTATTTTCACTATATAATCTATAGAGCCCCGCCCTAACACTAGAACCCCTGACCCTGGGGCCATAAAATTCACAATTTTGGTAGAGGCACTCTTGTTCATCATAACTATGTACTTAGTTGGTTTATTTAATACCCAGGAGCAGAGAAGAAGATTTTCAAAGAATTCATGTATTTTCACTATATAATCAATAGAGCCCCGCCCTAACTCCAGAACCCCTGACCCTGGGGCCATAAAATTCACAATTTCAGTAGAGGCACTCTTGCTCATCATAACTATGCACTTAGTTAGTTTATTTAATACCCAGGAGCAGAGAAGAAGATTTTCAAAGAATTCATGTATTTTCACTATATAATCAATAGAGCCCCGCCCTAACACCAGAACCCCTGACCCTGGGCCCATAAAATTCACAATTTTGGTAGTGGTACTCTTGCTCATCATAACTATGTGCTTAGTTGGTTTATTTAATACCCAGGAGCAGAGAAGAAGATTTTCAAAGAAATAATGCATTTTCACTACCTACTTATTTAGCCCCGCCCTGGCACTAGAACCCCTGACCCTGGGGCCATGAATTTCACAATTTTGGTAGAGGACTAATTGCTGATTACAATCATGCAAACAGTTTGACTGCTTGATGTCCAGGAGTTAAGAAGAAGATTTTTTAAAGATTGCATTAATTTTAGTGGTTTTGGCCCCACCCCTCAGGCCCCAGGGGGGCAGGGATCATGAAATTCACAATTTTTGTTCCCCTTCAGCCATAGATGCTTTAGGCCAAATTTGGTTGAAATTGGTTCAGTGGTTGCAGAGAAGAAGCTGAAAATGTTCAAATGTTAACGCACAACGCACGACGCACAACGCACGACGCACGACGACGGACGAAAACGGATAGCAATAGGTCACCTGAGTTTACTCAGGTGACCTTATTATAAACAAGCAAAGTATATTTGATCCAACCTTTTCTTATCAGTTTGTGAGAATTTATGTTGGGAAAATGTCTTTCGTAACACCTAATCTTCAGTTTTCATCTATCATAAAGAGGATTTTGAGAACATGTAATTAAAACTTACTTGAAGGGTTTGAGAACTGTATTCCATTCCAGGGCAGGAATCTGGATCTTTGGCTTGACCAAGTCTTTCTGTCTCTCTGAATGTGTCTGCTGGAGAAAATCTCCCCATTTTCCTGAAAAAAACAGATTTATTCTCAAATCTGGATATTAGTATTACAATAAGTTTTCTCTCTCTCTCTACCTCTGTCTACACTAGAACATGTATCACAATTAATATTCCCACATGTTTGTTATTATCATACCTGTACATATGGAGAGCCCCTGAATATCAATCTGGTACTGCCTATTCTCAATGGCTGACCCAGGTTGTTGTGTCAGGTTTAGCTGCATGGCCTTGTGGTAGATCTCCCTCTCGACAGCATATCTAGGTAACGGATTATCCACTTGTGGGTTCACTGCTATTTCTGGTAGAATGATCAGAGCTAGGTCATGACCTTTCTGCTCCACTGGAGATATTCTGGGAATGAAAACTCTAACATTGCTGATGGTAACATACAACAAAGGGAGAAAACTGGAGGTAAGTATGGGAAGATTTTCCTTCTTCTGAGCTGGTATTGCTGGGATTTGAACTGGTTTTGGCACAGAGGAAGATTTCTTAGGGAATATCAGAGATTCAAAGCTGTCTAGGACAGTATGCACTGCTGGAATGTACAAGATAAAATCACAGGGTTCAGTGTTTAGACACATCTCTGAGATGTGTTTGTGGAAATAAAGATCATAACTAACAGCCTCATTCTCAAATTCCTCGAAAGCTGCCAGGTCTGCATTCAGCTTCCTCATCTTCTTGGCAACATTCTTACATAAGGCACGCGTGAAAGTGAAGTTGAGGAAACCATGAGTTACGTCCCTTGACTGGGACTCTCCAGTTTTATGTAATGTGGAATGCTGGGAATGAAAACCAGTTTTGTGAGATAAAATCTGGATGTCATCCGAGATCTCTTTTCTACAACTCATCAGGATGCCTAGGTAAGGTCCCTCTTCCCAGTGGGTCAGCTCACTAGAAAATAGAGAACAAACTCATCTTGCTTTTCCATGCTCTGTTATGATCTAAATCAGCCTTTCTGTTTTTAATCTTTGATTGTTAATAGATTTACATGAAATACTCACTTTTTATTCTTGGGCATTTTTCTGTCAAAGTGATGAACATTAGCAGAATTACAGGTGACCTTGACCTTAGCATATATTTCCTGGACATCAACAGATAATGCAATATCCTCAATTTGCATGGTGACTCTATTTTCTGTTGGAATAAATTAAAAGCATGACATTATCATGTTAAAGAATCTAAAAACAAAGATTTTTTTAATTTCTTCTTTAACCTATGCAAAAAAATTCTCATTACACCTGCCATCCTGTCCCTACCTTGATTTGTGACTTTATCGTGTTTGTAGAACCTGAGTTCCAGTTTAGGGAGGGTCCACTGAAGCCAGAGGGACAGTCTCACTCTGTCTTTACTGTAGCCATCATACTCCAGATCCTGGCTCGGAGTTGTCCCCCTTGACTTATTCTCAGTAGAGGTCTCTGTTTCTGATAGCAGAACATCTGCAAAAATATTGTAAAATTTATTGATGTAAGTAGCCAGAGAGCAATGGTCTTGTTTCTTTAAACAAATTCACAATTTTTTTTTTACTGCAAAAGCATTTTAACACAGATCCTTCAAACAGTTCTTTATACCTTCTACAATAGATTTATTGCTGGTTGGTTCTGCTACAGGGGGTGTCTCTGGGATTTCATCCTTCTTGGCTTTCTCTACAGGTTTGGGTGAAAGATCCTTCATCAGAGACCTGACTTCTGTAGCCATGTCCAGTAGACTCATAGCCAGTCGAGCACACAACTTAACCTATGATTACATTCATACATTTAGTACCGTATATACTCGCTTATAAGTCAGTCCGCCAATAACTCGGTTGTATTTTCTGAGCTTAAATCAAAGGGACTGGTCCTCTAAAAACTAGTTTTTCTATAACTTGCCCATAAGTCAGACAAAGAGTTTTGAGTCAAATTTTAATGCCCGAAAAATCAACTTATAAGCGAGTATGTACGATCAACATTGACCTCATGTATATATGCCTGTTCTACATTCATAATTAGATTATCTTGATTTTATATTAACTTCATTATTGTCACAAAAAACACATTGGCCTTGAAAATGGGAAAAAAAATTAAACAAAGATATCATATGGATACTCAAATGCATATGATAGTGACCTTACTTAGACCCTTACATTAATGTATAGATGCAAAACTGGTTTTATGGCACACATAGTAGACGTAACTGAAAACAATACCTGATGTTTAGAACAAGACAGGGTCACAGCCTTCATGTCTGTGTGTAGACAGAGACCCAGTGCTGAGATAGTATCTGAGGACAACAGATCGTACTTAGAGGTGACTGCTACTGTACAACTGACTGAGGCTGGTTTGACCAGGGAGTGAATGTCTGACCCATGGAGGGAGTACACACTGAAGTCGTCCAAACTCATCTGCCATGGCAACCTCTCACCTGGAAATGAAATCCATTAAAGTTCTTAGTTATCCCTTTCTTAACAAGACAAGTAAAGCGATGATAGGAACTTCATTACATCTAGTAAATTTCAAAATTATTTCCTGTCTGATTCTGACCTTTGAGTGGTCCCTCTAGACTAGTGATAGGGATGTCCATTCCCCTGGACAGAGATCGCCCCCCAGAGCTGTATAATTTGAGGGTGGGAAGACAGAACACCAGGGTCTCGGCGGCGGGGTTTTCTGAGGTGGACTTCCTGATGTTGAGGGGTATGAAGGAGCTGGGATCAGATACCATGACACTGGCCGAGCTCAGGAACAGGCAACAACACTTCACATCCACCTGATTTATAGATAAATATGTTTCAAGTTAATTAATGTTAACCCTAAGTGTCAGTTAACATACCCATAATAAAAGATTAATGTGCTCTCAGCTACTATTCTTAATGTGCCAGTAGTTGATCATATCATATACATATACATGTACATGTAAAGTCAATTTTTTGTTATAAAGTCTGTAGATAGAAAATAAAATTTACTTATTTCTTTTGATTAGATACAAGTAAATTTCTTACCTGAAGGTAGAGTGACTTAACATAAGGAAATATCCCAGACAGCCATTTCCCAAGAACATCCTCTGTTTTCCCTGATTCTTCACTCTCTGACTTCTGATTGGTCAGTGCTCTCTGTGATGCACTATGGGTAATTGTTTTTGTTTCTACTTGACTAGTGTTTTTAGTGACAGATTCTGTTTTGTGAGTTGTTGAATCAGCACTTGAAGCTGTCAAAAAATAAATATAACTTTTAGAACAGAAAAAAAAATTAAAATGTTTTAAACCTTTGCTCTTAAAGAAAAGTAGAAACACATGAATTGTATTTATAATATGACCTTCACCTTTTGACCTTTGTCTCTGCAGTGGAATGGTGGCCTCAGCCAAGGCCATGTCAAGGCTGACTTGACTCTCTTTCTTGGCGGCTTTCTTCATTAATGTGGGTGTGTAATTAAACCATTCATTTAATGACTGGTCCATGTTACATACAAATCCTTCCATATTCAGCAAGGCCACAGTTGGTACTAAACAAAAGGAAAGAACAGTGTGTTTCAACTTCCTTAAAACCATTGTACATGTATCATCAAGAAAAAGTGTGACAATATTTTATCCTCTGCTGATTGACTGTATACAGCATTATTTTTGCCCTTTCACATTTGCAAACAATTTTGCCCCATTTTAAATTCATGCAGTCACAATTTTGCTTAAACTCACAATACAGCACATCTCTTCAAAAACAGACTTGTTAAAATTTTCCTATTGGATTTGGAATTTTTTTCATACTTATTAATGTATACACTTTCAGAAAATTACAAGTTTTATAATGTAAATAATTCTAAAATTATTTCATTAAAATTAATAATTATTTATATTATACTGAATGGTACAGTGAACCGTGCGCGCATAAATTCCGTGCATCGCTATTTTTTGTAATACCACCCGTCGTCAAGCAATGTTGACTGCTGCTATGCAGGAGGGCGTGGCTATATACATCAAATGTTTCAACGTTATTTCATTTTAATAATTATTTATGGTACATAAATATATACATGCTACACACGCATGCATATAGTTTTCATAAACAAAACAGCATGGTAAGAGAGGGAAGCCCAGTAGGCCTGCTACATTGACAAAGTCGACCAAAACGAAAAACGAAACCAAAAATAGGGCTTGAAATTGAAAAGCAACTTTCCTGACAAAATTTAGTTGGGAGATTAATATAATCATTGGATGAAGAAGAAACGGGATCTCGGCGAAATTCACGTGGGGCTCGCGAAGGTTTAGCCGCTAGTTTATGAAGCCCCCTATTTTCAGTACGCATACAGAATGTAATCTTTGAATATACATTGATACAAATTCACCTTAAAAATATGAGTATCACTAAAGGGGCAAAAATAAAACATGGGCAAAAATTTCCCCAAATACTTTAGACGTACTTTTTTCCACCTGGTCATAATTCCGCAGAATCTCAATTTCTGTTTAATCCGCTGGTAGAAAATTATTACACGGATTTTGTAGTTTGTCACTATATGCCTTACATTTATATTAAGTACACTTGGACAATTTTCCGCAGAAGATTTGTGACAGCGTACATAGCGTAAATTAATACCACGCGGAAAAAAGTACTTCTACAGTACATTATTAATATGTTGTGAAACGAAAGGACAAATATGATGATTCTTACACTCAGTTGTTGCCTGATCTTTAGGAATCTGATAAACAATTGTGATGAAATCTTTGGATTCCTCTGTATATGTAGTCTGGTGCATGAAGAATTCCTCTGTAGAGATTTTACTGGTGTCAGCCGGAGCAGTGAACACTGGGATAGGTGGTGAGTTTCTCCCCACTAAAACAAGAGTTGTCTTGTCATTAATTGAAAATATTTATACTGTGAATATCTGATCACAAAGCAATACTAATTCATAAGGAGACAAGCAACTTACAGTAGAGAGTTGCCATAACTGAGGACAGGGTACCAGTACAGGCCTGAGTGTCCACCAGTTTACTCTTCTTCATTTCTATTCCTGACACAATCAACTCTAGCACAGGGATATTCACAGCATCTACAATGGAAGTGAAATCTAAGCTAAAAACAATCTCTTTTCACCTTCAACAGACAGCCAAACATTATTATCATGATTTTAATGGGACTAAGAAAAATCTTTGAGATATTCCTTGATACAATGTATCAGAATATAGATATGTACTATAGAATCCAAGTCTTTCTACCTTCTACAAAGTTATCCTTCATTAGACTTGTGTCTGTAAGAAGAGCTGACTTTGGAGTCTTCTGTTGCCATGACGATACAATCTGGGTCAGTAGCAGTAGGCTGGCCTTGGTGAAGTTGGCCGTGGCCTGAGGAAGTTCATAAATCTGCTCAGCCTTAGGCTGTCTCCTACTGTTCCTGAAAATTTAATTAAAATTAATTGCATTTTAGCTTTGTTGTGCAAAAAAAGCTGTTGAAGAGGTTTTATAAACTGATCAAGAAACAACTGTTTTACCAATACATGGAGAGCAGCAGACGCTTGTTGTAGATGGCGCCACTGAACTCAGGCACAAGAGACAGGACATGTGACTTTGTTAAATCTTCTGACAGAGTCTGCAGACCAATGGCAGCTCCAAACAACTACAATGATAAAACATAATGTACTTCACAAAATTGACTTTCTACTAGCTAATTATATGACATACATGTACAAAGGTACCTTATATGACACATTATCTTTACAATGTTGAAGTACAAATACTTACCTTAAATTGTGTGTGTGAGTGGCAATTATGGAGAAGGTTAGCAGAAGGAGCAGCCATTTTACTGACATATTTGATAAGTTTTCTAGGATACATTGGATTAGTGACTTGAAATTCAAATTTTACTGCTGTCATAGCAACCACAGGTAATATCACAGCTGATGGCTTTGGTAAATTTGATTCTTCTTTAGAAACCTGGAAGAAATGCATTTATTAAGAGAAAGTATTGATATTTGTTTCAAGTTAGAAAGAAAATGTAATTCTTATTTGAAATATTTTCAAAGACTTTCTCATTATCTTCATAACAATATTTCTATTTTGCTTACCTTGGAAGGTTTATGAACAGTTTTGTAGGATTTCTTTGAGATATCACAGTTTTCATGTTGAGCGTAGTAGACGGAGATGAAGGGTTGTATGATGGTGAGGTGCTGGGTTCGGGTGGGTAGGACATTCTCCAGGGAGGACACCTGGGCCTCCGATGGGGCTGGTCTCTGGTCATCCACAACCTCTGTATAAAAACACAGGGAAAACTAATGTTAATGATGTACTTATGGAGAATTTAATTTAAAGAATTTTTATGATGCATATTGTTAACTTGTTTATAGTTTTTGAAAGCAAGCTGCCTTCCAGTGTTCACCACTCCTTTTCAGAGGCCTGTTCAATAGAGCGATTGCTCGTGAACATTTCTGTTGGAGGTATAAGGAATTTTGGCGAGCGCTCATTACATTTGCTCCATTGAACAGGCCTCTGATGATTTACAGATAAATTGCATTAGTTCCATTCCTCACGAATATTTTACATCATTTTTAAATTCTGTAACTATTTCCTCTTTATGGTTATTTATTCAAATACTAGCTTTAGACCTGAGGACTACTTCATTACACGGCCTAGTTGTACATACCATCTTTTGTTTTAGCGTACGGCTCGTAGCTGTGGTTCTGAGCTGCCTGTATGAACCTTTGAACTCGGTGGACAGCTGAGGAGGAGATGTTAAACTGACAGCTCCCCACAATGTACCTCATTAAGGAGTTCTCCCTGAGGAACACATGCTCCTCCCCCTCAGATATTGAGGACGTGCTCCCTACAAAAAGAAAATAAAATGAAAAGCTCAACAGTAAATTCAGGACTGCTACCTCCAAACAATCTGAAATTCTAGTATATGATAGAGAATTTTTTATTGATTTCCTTTTTGCTGGGCTTAAAATGATATAATCAAATGCTGTAGATCACTTAATTTTCGCGACACCTTATTTTCGCTAGATAGTCTTTGACTCTTTATTAGCAAGATAAAATTTTCACGAATTGTGGTCATTGCTCTCTATAATCTTAAGGAATTCCATTATACGCGAGAATGAAATTTTCGCGAGCATACAGGCTCGCGTAATTACGCGAAAATAAAGTTCTCGCGAATAAAAAGTGATTTACAGTACCACAAGTTTTATGAAAAGCCCTGAAAAACTTACAGTAACATGCAAAATTGTCATATTTCCTGCTTGTTTATAATTTCAGGGCATATACTTGTTTATATGTATTTCAAACCAGACTAATCCAAAGAAAACTTTAAAGTTCAACTTTAAAGTTCATCAGAATATTTTCTTTCAAGTTAAACTTAGCTTAACTTCACTATTGCTTTTATGATACCCTTTACAATACCCTGAAAATCTTACCAATCATTTGCGATGATTCCTCATATGGCTGCATCACATACAGATAATCCACAAAGAACACCCCAAACTTGTCCATGGCCGCCTGCTCGGTGTATGTTTGTAAGTGTTCTGGTCCATCAAAGGTCCAGGTCAATACCTGACCTTGGTTGACAGGACAACCAAGGTCAAACAGTGACCTGCTGTAGTAATTGATGACCTTGTCAGCAAGACCATCTCCTCCCTTTACAATCACCTTGCTCTGTTTGAAAAAGTACAATGATTCAAAATCAATTTGATCTCTTGATTTCAGTAATAGGTAAGTATATTTATGTCAACATTAATTATCAAGTACATGTATTACACCAACATTACAAACTTAAGAAGTTGAAATTTTCAGTATTCACCATCCTAAGTTCACTGAAAAGACAATACATTTCTTTTTTTGAAAAAAAAAGGTTTGATTAACTACACCATAGTTTCTGATAGCATGAAATAAAAAAATCTCCCTCAACTTCGTTAAAATAAGCTGAAAAACCTAGATCCTTACCCTTTGATCCTCGCCATCATCTGCCCCACAGATACAGTTTCCCCTGGTCTCCAGACTGATGTTGCTGATCCCAAACTGGACGTTGAAGAAAGTCAGGCCCTTCATCACAATGTCTACCCCTATTCCTTCAGCTTCCATGTACATAAAGGGTCGGAATGCTATCTTCTGAGGACCGTAATGGACTTTTTCTCTCATCTTCTCTGTCAACTAAAACAGCAAAGAATTATTTAGTAACATGTGATCCTTTACTTAGAAACAAGAGTGTGCCTAATTCTTGAAGATTAAAAAGTAATCAATCTAAAAGCGAAATCTTTTCAAAAAACTCTTCCACCTTAAATATTTCTAATATAAAAAGGTTTTTAGTAAGTTTTTTTTTCAAAATCAAATTCATTTTGAAACAAAAAACATAGGTAATCAAAGATTACGAAGCTCACCTCGACGAATGTTATCAGTTTAAGTAATGGAAATCTCACATCATATTTTCTTAATATTTAGTATTCATCCCAACAACAATATTCTTGCAAGTTGTGTTTAACCCCTTACATGCCATATACACATTTCTATGCGTGTAGCATGAAAAACATGCAAAGTGTTAACAAATATTCATAACTTTGTTAATACTGCAGATATCAAGGACTTGACCTGTTCCCAAAACTTTAACCTGGTCTCTTGTATGGAAAATATAGGTCAGATCCAGCATCCGAAGCAAGTCTGATAGTGTCCATCCTTAGATGCATCATCCATGCAAGTTTGGTTCAGGTAGGACTTATAGTTACTTGGGAATTAAAATGTAGGTCAGATCCAGCATCCGAAGCAAGTCTGGTAGTATCCATCCCTATATACATCATCCATGCAAGTTTGGTTTAGCTAGGGCCTATAGTTACTTGGGAATGAAAATGTAGGTCAGATCCAGCATCTGAAGCAAGTCTGGTAGTGTCCACCCCTAGATACATCATCCATGCTAGTTTAGTCCAAAAAGGGCTTCTAGTTACTTGGGAATGAAAATGTAGGTCAGATCCAGCATATGAAGCAAGTCTGGTAGTGTCCACCCCTAGATACATCATCCATGCTAGTTTGGTTCAGGTAGAGCTTATAGTTACAAAAAAATGTAGGTCAGATCAGCATCCGATTTGGTATGTTCCCTACATACATCATCCATGCAAGTTTGGCTCAGGTAGGGCTTATAGTTACTTGGGAATGAAAATGTAGGTCAGATCCAGCATCCGAAGCAAGTCTGGTAGTGTCCGTCCCTAGATGCATCATCTATGCAAGTTTGGTCCAAATAAGGCTTTTTTCTGTGGAATGGACCTGCTCCAAATTTAACCTGGTCACTCATCTGGAAAATGTAGGTCAGATCCAGCATCCGAAGCAAGTTTTGTAGTGTCCTTTCCTAGATGCATCATCCATGCAAGTTTGGACCAGGTAGGCTTATGTTCCTTGTAGACCTGCTCCAAAAACTTTAACCTGGTCACTCATCTGGAAAATGTAGGTCAGATCCAGCATCCGAAGCAAGTCTGGTAGTGTACATCCGTAGATGCATCATCCATGCAAGTTTGGTCCAGGTAGGGCTTATATTTCCTTGGGAATGGACCTGCTCCAAAAACTTGAACCTGCTCCAAAAACTTTAACCTGGTCACTCATCTAGAAAATGTAGGTCAGATCCAGCATCCTCTGGTAGTGTACATCCCTAGATGCATCATCCATGCAAGTTTGGTTCAGGTAGGGCTTATAGTTACTTGGGAATGGACTTGCTCCTAAAACTTTAACCTGGGACGCCGACGCTAACGCCGGGGGTATAGCATAAGCTCATCTCGACTTCGTCGAGGTGAGCTAAAAAAACTCAATTGATACCTTAAATGTCAGTGAGGCTTTGTGGGCATACATTCCTACAGCTAACACAGCTGGGGGTGGTTTCTTCTTTGGGGACCTTTCCTCGGCCTGTAACTCCTCCTCCCCTGTGGGTAGGATCTGGGGAACATAGGACCATGCCCACGAGGACCAGCTCTGTTGATTCTCTAGATCCTCCACCCTTTGTTTCTCTTCATCTGAAATGTCACATACCTTGATAAGGCCTTGGTTTACCTTTTTTCCTACTTGATTTACTTTGGCCCTCATTTTTCAAGGTCAGTAGGAAATAGTATTTTTTAAAGATTATTTCACACATGGATATTCATTATTATAATCAGAGCAATTAGAAATTCATTGATGTACTCATACAATGTATACAAACGACGTTAAACAGATCAAATAATTATTGCTCTTAAAAGTGTCTGAGTCTCTGAGAGATGATAAGCCTCATGGTTGGTTAGAGGTAATATTAATGTGTCTGTAAGAGTATATCAAACATTATTATTTATTGTTGCCCCAATATTTTTTCTTAATATAAAAACTGTTATTAATTCCATGAACTTTATAGATTTATAAAGTAAGTAAACAAATAAAGAACAAATTTTGATTAAATAATGTTCTTCACCTTCCTCTTTCTTGTCCTCACTTCCTTCCGCGCTCTTCACACTCGACTCCTGCTCATTCACTGAGCTCGGAAACTCGAGTGTGCCATAGTACAATGCCAAACAAAGTTCAATCAAGCGGAAAAACAATGGCAGCTGAGTGTCAGTCAGAGAAACGTCCAGAGTCTCACAAAACAAGTCAAACTTAGTGATGCTGGGAAACTTTGCATTGATTGAGTCATACTTGAGGTAGACTCTACCAGTAACGGAGCACCTGTATACCATGGGGTCCTGATAATTCTCTATCTTCCCACTGCTGTCACACTTATCTAGACAAATTGTAAGGTCCGAGAGATTGATTGACTTCCTTAGGGCAAGCTCTGGGGGACAGAGGTCAATGAAGGCTCGATTCCACAACTCATTCACACTGAAACACTCTAGTGACTTCACATTAATGGACAAGACTATGTCATCCTCCACAAACTTCACAATTAAATTGTTTATTACTATACTGACATTGTTGGAGATTTTATTCATAAGACTTTGTAAGTAACCTGGTGGAAGATCTTCCCCTGCTTGTTGTCGTCTTTGTTTTTGTTTTGCCTGGAATGATCGCGATTTCTTTAATTCTGGCGTTTGAGAACTAGCTGTGTCACTGTATGCAGATTCCCTCAGTTTCAAAATGCATTCTATTGTATTAATTGTTATAACAATAGGTTCAGATCCTAGTTTTGTCCAAGGTACATGGATTCTCAGTTCATGAATATGGCCACTTTTGAAGATGATTGGAAGCTGGATGGCCTTCTCGATGACATCCAATCTAAGGTCAAGGTTATTCAGGACTGCATCACCACCCCACAGTGACAGCTGAAAATCTTCATGTCGCAACTTCACATATTTATCTACGTAACCCATCAATAGTGGGGTGATGTAAGACTCTATCTTAAACATTTTGATTAAAGTTGGTCTACTTTACAGTTCCTGAAATGTAAATGAGAAAACTGCTAAAATGATTGTTTGTAGTTCATAGTCAGTCTACAGGAAATACTTCATTTCGTTAACAGGCCTAGAGATCTACATGTACTTTTTGCAAATTTTTGAGAATATTTTTATAAATATGAAGTTCTGTATGCAAACAAATCCTTAGCCATGTCCAAACCAAGCGCTAAATCACAAAAACAAAACGTGTACATCTACATCGACAGCACTTGCATAACAAGTGTTGTTTTTTTTAATTTAAAATTTGCATGTCATTATTCTTTTAACAAAATGCCCAATGTGAATGAATTAAACATTGTTAACCTGAATTAAAACATAAACATAGACACTGACAGGTCCAGTCCAAAGACTATTTCTACCTACGTAGCTATTAATAGCTACCTAGGTATTTAAAGCTACCAAAAGTAGCTATATTTACCTACTTTATATAATTTCTGTATTTTGCGACCAAAAGACCAAACGGCGCAACATGGTGAATACCATATTTTTTGATACGGTCACACTAATGATGAATACAACAAAATTTTGGCGAAAAAATGATTACTTCCTGAATCGGCAATTTTACATCACTTTCTATGCAAAATTGATAAAATAAAGTTTTCATTTTTTGGCCAAATTTTTGTCATATTCATCATCTGTGACTGTATCAAGAAAAATGTTGCAATGCCTTTGGCCACAAAATGCAAGTAAAGCAGAAAGTAGGTAAAAATAGCACTTTAGTTTTAAATACCTAGGTAGCTATTAATACCTACGTAACAAATAGTCTTTGGACTGGACTGATAGATGAAGTTGGAGATACCCCTTCGTCGTTTAATAGCAGACGCGTCAAGACACATTCCTAAAGGCAGTTTAATCATACAAAAAAGGTAGAAATTTTTTCAGTTGTCCCGTAATTACATTGACTTTGCACATAGCAGTGCAAATAAAATACATACTTACAAATAATTTGATTATCATATGATCTGCCAACTCATAAGTCGCCATGTTTATTTTTATTCATTCGGAACCCATGGCTTTATTAGTAAATCCGAAGACGGAATAAAGTTCGATAACTCTGTGAAATGAAAGATCATAGCCTGGTTCCCGAGGCCTTCCGATGTGCACGCACAGAAGGCCCCTGGCATACACTTTGCAATGTCAGCGGAGTGTGACTAAAATGGGTAGCGAAACCCGGGCCGGGCCGGGAATTTCAAAACTGAGAGCCGGGTTTTTGATAATTACGAGATAAATACTCATTCTTTCTTCACGAAATTTACAGACATAGTTTATAAGTACAGGTTTTGCCTTCGCTGAGAATTTTAAGTCAAAATGTTTTGTTTTTCGATGATTATCGCCGATTGTCCTTTTCCAGGTGACTAAAATGGGTAGCGAGCCCGGTTTACTCATTTTGGCGATTTTAAGCTTAATGCATCGAAAGTGTTTGTGATATTTGCATTTAATGGTTGTTTATTAACTTCAAATAGTTAAATTGTTCAATAATTATGAAATTAAATGTCAATTATTAGGGTTTTCGTCATTTTTCATAGACCCGGGACAGGTCAAAACCGGACGCGTTTGCCCGGGACAAATTAATAATTCCGGATTGCCAGAGAAAGAATGTAGATTTTTTTCAGACCCTGACCGAGATACATCTAAGAAATAAATTGGAAAAAATAAATAAAAATATGCAAATCAAAAAAGAGTCATTTATATTTCAATTTTATGTCATTTTCTTATAAGTATTTCGGAAATAAAAGGTTTTTCCTGGGTGAACGTGTCCGGTTTCGACCAATCCTGGGTGTTCAAAAAATGCGTATATTTTCAATAATCGTGATTTATTACTGCAACAGTTAAATGTTTTAGGTAGTTTAAGTTCAATTTCAAAGATCCAAATGAAATAATTGTAAACATGCTGCCGAAATTAAGTTTAAATCGCCAAAATGAGTAATCCGGGCTCGCTACCCATTTTAGTCACTTGGAAAAGGACAATCTGTGATAATCATTAAAAAACACAACATTTTGATCTAAAACTTTCAGCGAAGGCCAATCCTAGAATAATTAACTATGTCCAAAAATTTCATGAAGAAAGAATGAGTATTTATTTCGTGATTATCAAAAACCCGGTTTTCGTTATCGAAAATCCCGGCCCGGCCCGGGTTTCGCTACCCATTTTAGTCACACTCATGTCAGCGTCCTACGTAACATCCAAGATGGCGGCCGATGCGGTAAGTTTGTATAGTAAATGATACATCTTGCCCGATTAATAACATTTTTAACTGCGTCATGTCCGTTTTTTTTCATTTATTTGACATTAACTCGGTTCAATGATATTATTGAAATTGACTTTTGGCCACGAATCACCTGATTTGATCTGCCAACCTACCTATTTACATCGATCAGCTGTTTATATGTAAATGGCATAGGCCCGTATCAAAATACACCCAGATTTAACATTTTTTACTGCGTCATGTCGATTTTTTTCTTTTATTTGACTAGAATTCGGTTCAATGAGATTATTTAAACTGCCTCTTGGCCGTGAATCACCTGATTTGATCTGCCAAGCTATACCTATTTACATCGATCAGCTGTTTACATGTAAATGGCATAGGCCTGTATCAAAATACACCTAGATTAATTAATATTTTTTACTGGATCATGTCGATTTTTTTCATTCATTTGACTAGAATTCGGTTCAATGATATTATTCAGACTGTCTTTTGGCCACGAATCACCTGATTTGATCTGCCAAGCTACCTATTTACATCGATCAGCTCTTTCCATGTAAACACGAATGACATACATGTATATCATAATACACCTAGATTTATTTAATTCTGAACACTCCATCCAAAAGTTTAGTATATAGGAATGAATAAAGAATACTTTGATTTGATTTATGGAAAAATCATTCTTGAAGAAATGTTTTTTTCTGCAAGTCACTATATGTATGACAGTTAGAACAGTTACTTTTTGAATTAAATTTAACATGCGCTCTAAATGAAACCTTGGGAGATGAACGATTTAAAGAAATGGAAGTAAAAGTTGAAAATATTAATTAAACACGAAGACACACATAAGTACAATGTAATACTTTTTAACTTTTCAAAAAACTCTAAAAATTTAGTGAGGCATTTGCCTCACTTGCCTCAATGGTAGTTACGGCCTTGATTAGTAATGGATTTTATTTTAAATTAAAAACAATTACAGTGGAGCCTCATTTATCTGGACGCTTTGGTTCCCAATAAATTTGTCCGTATATGTGAAGCGTCCGGATATATGAATTACCATTTAAACAAGACAATATAACATTTAAAAATTCTGACCCGATGAAATATCATCCGAATACTGAAGCATCCGGATATCTGGCGTCCGGATATCTGAAGTTCCATTGTACTACACATTATCCTTGGATTAAATGTTTTCATTATGATGAAAGTTTCATCAACAATGAGAATTTGATCAACATGTCACCAATATATTGGCGACAAGGGTGATAGGTACAATGTATTGTAAATGACATAGTTTACAATAGATTTCTTTATTTTTCACACACATACGTGTTACCTATAGGGAGAGCTTCTGGACCGTGGGAAGGCCCTGCTTCTATTAACATGATTAGGTAAATGCATCATGATTTTTGAACAAATGTAATTTAATTATTTACAATGAAAATAGAATGAATCCATGAAATTTTATCGAACTGATTTTTCAGTATGCATATCATAGAGGAGTGTCCTAAATCGGTGTGTACCTAAATCGGTAACATCTTTTGAGCTTCTGATTTTTCTAGTATACCTGGAGATCTGACTTTATCAATATATGAAGAATGCTAGGTATAACACAGTAGCTCGTAGTAATCGATGATATAAATATAAAAGTAAAAATGTCTCCTTAGTCAGAAATAACATTTAGATACAACAGTGTAAGTGAGGAAAACCAATCATTTTTTTTTCAATGCATGAAAAATAACTTTGTTTTGGTGTAATGGTAACACACCTTATCCAAGCTGTAATCAGGGATGAGGAGATCCAGGTTCAATTCCTGGGAGCATTGTTGTTGTCATGCATTGACAAATCAAAATGAGAAAATAAAATGGAATTTACAGAAAATTGAAAACTAAGCATAATTCTAGCTATTAAAACAGCAAAGTCGAAGGAAACAATATTAAAGAAACTAATGATGTTACTGCATTATTTAAACCACAATCTTGGAAACTTGACACAATTTAATACCGTATAATCCCTATTAACCGCCCCTGCCTCTATAAGCACCCCCTAGTTTTGTTTTCAATTGTCAGAAAATAAGGGCCCCCTGGACAGTGATTAAAATTATATAGACAGACCCGAATCATATCAAAAGTCTGCAAAAATTTGAAAGAATTGAAAATAAGTTAACATTATTTTGGAGATTCTTTGAATTTATTTATTTTTTTTTCAAAATATTTTTTGAAGTTAAGATATGATATTAAATATTACAAAGAGAATACCCAAATAACCGCGCCCTTTTCACAATTTTCTAAGCACCTGGGGCCGTTAATAGGGATTATACCGTATGTCCTTTTTCTAGTTGAATCAACAAGTCTGTTATGATTGCAGAGTTCATTTTTTTTTATTTCCTGTGTCATATAATTAAAAATTAGAGAGCATGATTCATGAAATTAAGAAATACATGTTCAAATATATAACATATGTGTACAACTTTGAATATAACAATATGAGAGGGAGCATAATAATTTTAAGTACATTTTAAAGTACATTTCATCAGTTTATAACTATGAAACACTTAGAAATAATTTACTCAGCTATGGAGGCTAAATTCACATTAATATTTTCTGAGATTTTCATTTTGTATGATTAGCAGATGAATTATTTCTAATCAATAAAATTCTAGTAGTACAAAATATTACTTCTTTTAAAAATACTTCAGTTTGAGATCATAATTAGAGAAAATGAAATTCACCTGCAATCAATTTCAGTGAACACTTTTCATAAAATCTTATTTCTGTATAATCTCATTAAAATATTTACAAATTCAGTTTCAATTAACATATAGATTATAAATGGAGAGTCAATTCTAGTTCTTGCAATTTGTGTTGGGGGATTAACATAATGAAAAATAATTGCACATTTAAAGTATCTAAAGTATCAAATGTTGTATTCAAGATTTTGAACATTGTTAATGTATAGTAATCGCACCTCAAGAAATCCTTGTACATATAACATGTTTTTCTAAAGTTCTGCATCTAATTATCTTATAGTTCATCTTGTACATACCTGATTCAACTAAATGTATCATTACTTATTTTTTAAACAAGTTTTACCATCCGACTTCAAATATAACATTTTCCACCGTATCAGCTGTTTTAAAATACCTGGTGATCACAGAGCAGACATAAGAAACTCAAATGAAAATTCAATGTGAAAAAAACTATTGTCTTACAACTATATATGATTAATATAAACATATTTAGTTCTCATTTACATGCACTTCTCATTCCTTTAGCATGTTCACATCATCAGTGACATCCGATCAAAGCATACATATGGTACATTCAGTCCCATATTATC